GGCCGCCTCAAGGTCGCCCAAGTGGTAGGTGCCGGGCGGGGCTCCAGGTGCCGCGGGCGGCCTAGCCGCGCTTTCTCCCCGCGCCCCCTCGCGCTGCGGGGCGCAGGCCTGGCTGGCCTCTGCCGCGTCCCCGCGTCCGATTCCAGCTCCTCGTACCTTTCTCCCCCGTGGTCCCCGCGCCTTGCTCTCTCCTCCGGGGACCCTGCTGTCTTCAGGCACCTGCCCCCTCCGGTCCTACAGCCTCAGGTGTGCCTCGTACCTGCACACCTGCCCCGGGGCCTACCTGCTCACGTCTGCCTTAGTTACCGGCTTTGATGGTGCGCGGAGGCGCGGGGGGGAGGGTGGTCAGGCAGTCCTTTTGGTACTACCGGGCTTTGCAACTTGTGGCACGTTTTGGGGGCCCACGTAAGCCCCGGACGGACCTTGTCTGCCTCCAGAGACTGGGGACTGAAGCTTGGTTTACTCCCTGGCGCCTAGCAGGGTGTCGGCATATGGGTTCTCCATAAATATTTGTGGAGTGGGGTTATACAGTGGGGTAGTCTAGATCTGACCACAATGTCCAGTTTATACTGCAGAGGTTTGAGTCTTTCTTGCATCCCTGAGTCCTCTTCCCAGCACAGTGACTGGCACTGCCCATTTGGTACCTGGAGTTAAATCACTGTAGGCGAACAGCCGGGTTGGGAGCTAACAGTTACAGGGAACTTTCTGTTGGACTTGTCCATAGTATAGCTCCTTTCGGCTGGGGATTTAGCTCAGTGGCAAAAGCGCCTGCCTGGCAAGTGCAAGGTCATGAGTTCGGTTCCCGGTACTGGAGAAAAACCAAAAAACAAAGGAGTGGCATAGTATAGCTCCTTTCTCAGGGTTCTTATTTTTTTAGCCCCCAGGTGTTCAGGGCAGCGACCTGTCAGCTCTGTTCCCGTTTTGTGGTTTAGTAACAGGCTTCCCGGCAGTAGCTTAGCTCTTGTGGACAGGACATGCTCCAGTTCAGAAGACCCTGTGTGTCTGCATATTCCCTGTCACAGGTAGGCCTTCCTCTGAGGCCGAGCCTCAAAACTTTATAGACTTCTCAGCCAGCCAGAGAAGCCATTTGCATGGAGCTGAGTATATATGCATTTTATTTCTTGAAGCAGCTGTTCTCTTGTGCTTACTTGATCACAAATATACAAACATTCCTATGGAATAATATAATGTGTGGACATTATTTTTCAATAAAGGTCCCAGTGTTAGTAAATTGCAGAATCATACTGTTCTTATCTCAGGGATGGAAGGCCTGTTCTGCTGATTGCTGGAGGTACTTTGAAGGGTTTTAAGGAAACGGTCTCACTATGTAGTCTAGGCTGGCCTCGAACTCTCAGTGATCCTCCTGCCTCAGCCTCCTGAGTGCTGGGATTACAGGTGGGCACCACCACCCCAGCCTAGAATTTTAAACTGACTTTAATCCAGTAAACTGGAATGTTCTCAAAGAAATGTTGGTTCTGTAGTTAGGCAATGCAGCTAGGAAAAAGAATGTAGGAGGAGGGAAGAGATAGGGAATCATTTTTAAAAGAGGCAGCTAGCCAGATGTTTGAGTATGCTAATCATAAACGAATAAGAAAAGGGCAAGGGCCAAACTTGCACCAGGTAGAGTACAAGACCTTGTCAAGTACCTTACTTTGGTTTACTTTGTGGGTTTTTGAAAGTGAATAGAACTTATCCGTGGTGACCTCTCATTTGCAACTCAAAAGAATTTGGTAAAAGAATTGAAATCCTGTAGTCTGTTCAAAGTGTTAATTATCAGCTCATTGCTGGGACTTTGTCACCTCTGACCAGGGCTGGAAGCCAGTAGGATTTATTTGCCTTTTGGGAGTAGTGCTGTGTTGTAGAGCTTTATCTTCAATCTGGAAGAACTTCTGGACCCAGCCCTTAACGTCTCTCCCAACTCTGCCATTTATCTAACTCTGAGCATTCAGAGATTGTGTGAATGGCCCAGTGAAAGTTAGGGATCCACTTGAAGAATGTGCTGGTGGTGGTCTTGGTGTGCCTGTCTTTCAACCTTGATTTAAAAAACATAGGGTTTTGTTGGAGGTGGGGTAAGTTACATTGTAAACAGGCTACCCCCACCTAAGGGGCATGTAGCTCTCACATAATTTCCATGCCCTCCTCTTCCACAGGCTCAGGATGTATACAAAGTAAGCACCCTGGCTTCTAGACTCCCCAAGTTGACACAATGTATCAACCGCAACACCTTCCTTCCCCAACTCCAAGAAATTGTAGTCTAGGCTGGGAAAGAAGACAAGAAATCATTATGAAGATAGTTTTGAGACATTACAAAGCTTAGAATCCTATCAGGATAGAAGAGTAAGGGCTGGGGCGGAGGGGGGCGTTGTGGCTCAGCATTTGCATGCATGAGGCCACCAGGTTCCATGCCCAGTACTGGAGGGGAAAAAGTAAATTCTGGTTCGATGGTGTTTTGGTAAAATCTGATTTTTTAAAATTTTTGTTTTAGAATTTTTTTGCTTTCTTGGTTTTTTTTTTTTTGGTGGTATGTGGCCTTTGCAACCTGTGGATCCTTGCTGCTCTGACTGCAGCTCCCAATGCAACAGCTTTGCCACCGCCTCAGAGCTTGTTGTCACCGGCTTCACGCCAGAACCTCGGAATCATAATTGCATTTTAACAGGATTCCCCCGGTGATGCACATGCACAGGGAAGTGTGAGGCTTACCTGTCTATATCATTTCAGTATTAAAAACCTCACACAGGTGCTAGCAAACAGCTCTCTGTCAGAGCCATTCATATTAATAGTCAAGCATAAGGCTGAGATTTTTCTGTAAAAATCTCAAGTGATTAAGAGAATGATGTAATATCTAAAAATTAACACCTAGTTCGTTAGACATTTAATTGGTTTGTAATAAATGTTAGCTGTCATTGTTGCTAATTAATACATCCTGTCTCTTAAGAAACATGCAAATGTCACCCCCAAATCATAATTATATATTTGAATGAAATATAATTTACTACCTGGTGATCTGAGTTTTTAAGTGGAATGTTATTTGCTAGTAAAATTAATCTGAAATATTATTAAAATTAATCATTAGTGCAATTGCATAGAGTATGTCTTTTCAAAGTGAAACCTAGACCTATTGCTTAGTTGGGGAAAATATCTACAGCATTCATATCAAACAATAAATGGGCACACCTTGTGAAAAGAATTGATTTGAACAACTGATTTAAATTACTTCCTTCTCCTTATGAGTGTGAATTCTCTGAGACCTTACTGGTTTTTACTCCTAGAAACCATTCAATGAAATAATCATAGTATTGACTTTTTGCTTTTGTTTATTGTTATTTGCTTTATTTATCAACTTGATTGAAAGCAGTTTGCCCTTGGGATAGGATAGGTATACTGTTGTATGTGTCATGATGTGGGGACAGACTTTGGATTGAATGAGACTTTTTAAATAATTATAGCAGTGGGTATCATTTAGTGAGTGGTTACTGTTTGTCAACCCTTTTTATTGAGGAGGAGACTGAAGCACAAAGACTGACTTGTTTAGACACACAAGCTCAAATACTGCATAACTCCTCTTATATAAGAACCTCCCCCCAAAAAAAGCAAAGTATAAGATAGACAGTAGGAAACAGGGAGGTAGATATTTTGTAGATGAAGAGACAAAAAGGGAAGGGAGGGAAAGAGGAATAAAAAGAATCAAGGGGCCAGGGATATAGCTCAGCAGTACAAGCACCTGCCTGGCAAGCGCAAGGTCCTGAGTTCAATTGCCAGTACCAAAAAAAAAAAAAAAAAAGATATGTTAAGTACACATACTTACTGCCTAAAATGAACGTAAACATTATGTACTGCAAATGTACTAATTTTTTAAAAACCTGGAGGCTGAGTCAGGATGGTTGTCCTGAGTTTGAGGCCAGTCTGGGCTATATAGTGAGTTCAAGAGCAATTTAAACTACATAGACCCTGTCTCAGCAAAACAAAACAAAACAAAACAAGTTGTGATTTGTTGAAGGTGACATGGCTAATGGGGGCAGAGTTGGGGTTTAGTTTCTGACTTGCTCTTTACTGCTTCCTGAACACACGTGTGGATTTGAGTGCAGTAATCTCTAGACCAAGGATGTTTCTGTGATCTTTGGGCAGCCTGGTATCCGAGGGGTAAATTTTCCAGTGCTGGAATGATAGAGGTAGGAGGGTTTTGGTGTCTAGGTAGGCACTGTGCTGTTCCTCTGAATGCAGGTCCTGTGTGATGTGGGTCTGCTCACCTAACAGGCCCGCTCACATCTGTGAATGAAGGAGGAGTCCTTCTCCAAGACATCTCAGTTTCAAAAGAGCCCAGGAAGCTCTGGTTGCTCCATATCCTTTCATTGAGCCTCGCCTATGCCCGGTGGACCTTCTAGCAGTGCCTTTGTTTTTTTTTTTAAAGGGATTTGGTGATTGAATCCAGGACCTTCATACTGAGCTATATCCCTACCCCTCACTTTTAAATATTTTGACACAAGGTCTCATTAAGTCTCCCAGGCTAGACTTGAACTTGGGATCCTTCTGTCTCAGCCTCCCAAAGTGCTGAGTTTACAGGTGTGTGCCACTATGCCCTGCTGTGCATTTGTTTAGGACTTTTTGTTACATAACATGTGTAATAGGAGATGTTACATTAAAAATTTAAGTCTGCTGATCTTGAACTCTTTTAAACCCATCATATTTGGCTTCCTTGATTGTAGAATGTGGGTGATAATGATGAAGTGCACATTTTAAGTACTGTAAGAATTAAGAGGTTAAAGTACCTTAGGTAACTCAAAGACAAATCTAAGTAATTGCATTTCAGGGCTGGGTAATGGTAAATCTTTGATTTGATGGAAACTGTCAGGTTTTTTTTGTTTGTTTGTTTTTGTTTGTTTGTTTATTTGCTTTTAACCTGGAGCTAGTTAATTAACACAATCCCTGACCATTTATTGTTCTCTGGAGGATGTGCTGGGATGAGATATTAAAAAAAAACCCAACACAGTACAAAATAAAATAGGATAAACTCAACAACAAAACTT